GGGGAACCGCCATCAAGAGCAACAACATCCAACACCCCCACCAACCGCGAACAATCGGCGTTGTCCTGCTCGGGGGTAAAATATTCTGATGAAAGCGTGTCTTCGCTGCTGGCACACGGTGTGCAGTACTCTACAGTGTCTATACCGTTGCTGTTGTCAACAACTGCCGTTGGCGACCGGATGGTGACAGGGGTCTCATGTCAATCATTGACAGCTGCTGCCGCTGCCTCGTCCGCAACATACATCAACGCCAACAGGCGTAGGGCTTCGGCAGTTGTGCTCGCCATTCTAGCTGCCTGCTCACGATACCGTCTCGTACGCGGACTATGCAGCTGCAACAATCGTGGCCGTGATGAGATGGGATCCGTATACCATACCCTTTCGCCAGTCTCTCCGCATGTGCTACGACGAGTTGATTCTGTGTGAGGTGTTCTCGCTGCAGTAGTTCTTCGTGCCCCTCGCCTAGTCTGTCTTGCCCGAGCGGAAGGGGCGGATGAACGACAGACCGTATTCGACATTGTCGTATGCTTCTTCCCGTAGGACGCACCCTCCTTTTTTTCCCTTTCAAATTGCCTTCTTTGCCGATGGCGGGAGGAAGGCAAACTCGGATGTCGTCTGCCAGGACAGAGATCGCAAGGGCATGTGGACGTCAACGTCGCGTGCAAATGTGACGACAAAGGGCGTGACGCAGAGCTTTACCCGCAACAGATTCAGCGCCTGCTGTCATGCCATGCACACGGTGTCCCGCCCGCCGGTCGTTCGCTAACAAACGCGCTCAACGACCCAACCCTCGCAACACAGCATCAATGTTATCACCCCTGTCTATTAGAATGTTATGCAGTATACATACCGTATGGAACTGCTTCGACAGGGTCTTTATGTTGGCCTGGTGCGGTCTGTAAAAATTTTGGAACCGACCTTTTAAAACGCCGTTTCCACGCTCACTGTCAACACGCACCAATTTCAGACGCGAGTTACATTGTTAATACATGCAAGGTCTCTGTGTCTGATATCCTGAATGAAAAGGTTTCCTGAACGAGCACGTCGGAACAAGGATGAATTTTTAAGAACCACGGAGTCATGGACTGTACCGGGAAGACCTACGTGCACGTCAAGTATACGAAGATTGTGATCGAACACGAGCTGCACCACAACTGAGAACCTCTTCGTTCTTCCAGAACAATACGTGTCACCGCAAACATTAGCGGGCTTAGCAACATAAATATGAGTGCAATCAATGCACCCCCAGCAATCGGGGAAACCATGGGCCGCGTAGTATGCCATGGAAGCCTGACGATCGGCGGCAGTGCCAAAGGAGATAGCATTAGGGAAACACTGGATGATGGCATCCGCCACGTCCTCCACGGATCTCAACCCGCTCGTCGTTCCCATCTGATAACCCCATGCACTGTGACGGAAACTGTCTCCGGTGGCCCAACGATGAATGACGAAAGCCAGTAAATGGGCAGGAGCGAGAGGGCGCCTGAACCGTGTGACTTGCCGTATCAGACAGGGGTGCACAACAGCCAGGATGTGATCGAAAGTGGAACGTTTCATTCGTACGAGAGTATTGTAGAAGACATCCTCAGCATTGTCGTGGACTTGCATATTGCCCCACTGACCAGAACCTCGCCTCATCACCCACCATCGTGGGGGTCCCCGGGGTAAAACGTCAGCCATGTGCAAACAAAGCTGAGAATTGGAGGTGCAAAGAGACGTATGGATGTATCCATCTCCCATACCCCACAGCCCCGACGAAGTCTGTATAATTGAGAACAGCAGCTGCTGATCCACTGCAGACGCGAAGTCTTT